GATTATATAATATAATATATTATAATATGATATATTTGTAATTTTTAATTATATTATAACGGAAATATTCATATTTCTTATGTAATATTATAATATGTTTTATAATATTGTAATTAGATTAACCATTTTAATAATATTATTATATTCTATATCATAATTACGTAATATGTTATTTAATAATAGTTGTATTGTATTATATTATAGTATAATATAATACCATCCTAATTTTTAATTATTTGAGTTATTATTTTAATAATATTATTATATTATATATCATAATTATATAATATATTATATAATAATAGTTTTTTGTATTATATTAAATATAATCATAAATATATATTATATTGTAATTATATATATTATATTATAGTATAATATAATATAGTCATAATTTTTAACTATCTACAGTAATTTAACCTCATAATTTACCAAACGCTATTACATTGATTTTAAAATCAGCATAGCTACTGTAATTATAGTTTATTAAACATTCAACTGCTTTTTATAACAGTTGCTTCTTTTTTCAGTTTTTAAAATCTATATCATTACCCCTATATTCAATAGCATTTAGCATACCATCATTTTCACAATTATCTATTGTTGTCGCGTCTCACATATAACGATTTTTTTAATTAACTAACGTGCTTGTTTCACGTGCACATTATTAGTGTGCATATATAACAAAACAAAATGTAATAAAGCAATTAGTGTGCAAAAAACAAATTAGTTGAATAAATAAATATAAACAATTTTTTATGTTAGAAATAATTAAAAAACCTCACGTCTATTTTATCAAAACAATTTTTTTTTCACCTCAATAAACTTTCATTAATAGAATAATACTGCATTTTTTTTTTCAGGTTTTACAGTAGAAATTTTTTATAAAAAAAGGGGGATTACTTGAAATTCAACAAAAATCCTTACAAACGGAATAGTCGTAACGAAAACAGCATAGGAATGGGAACAGGAGGTGGAGACCAGAACCAGAAATCTCGGACTAACTACTCACCGTCTTCTTCGTCGTCGTCGTCGTCGTCGTTTTTCTCTCATTTTTTGTCGTCGGCTCTGAGAGTCAAGCCCCTCCACTCTCCCTCCGAGGTCTCCGTCCGTACAAACTCGGGCGATGGCCTCGTCCGCCGCCTCGGCATGTTTGATCTCATCCTCATCGGCATCGGCGCCTCCATCGGCGCCGGCATCTTCGTCGTTACCGGCACCGTCGCTCGCGACGCCGGTCCCGGTCCGTCTCTTCTCAATAAATTTGCTTTTTTGTTTTCTTTCTTAGGTGAAACTTTTGTAATTAGTGCAAATCTTCAGTCATGAGGACGCAAAAATGATCAATCTTGGGGCTAAATTTGTTATTCATTGCAAATCATGAGTTATGAGCTGATTTTTGCTTTTCTTTTGAGCTTTTGATGTTCAAAATGATAAATCTTAGTCAAAAGTTTCTGCCGAGAGCTTCTTGCAGCTCAGGGATTTCTAGTATAATCACTAATTAGATCTCCAATTATTGCTTTTGAGCTCTAATTATTCGATCAGTTCTTATTATCGCAAAATTGTAGCCGAATATATTCAAATTGGATTATTACGTCTTGCTTTAACTAAACTTGTTTCTTTGATGATGAAGTTGATTAAAGAAATGATCTTGTTAGGTTGGAGTTGGAACATTTGTTGTGCAGTGCGGACCTAAAAATGTCGGATTCCGCTTCATAAGCTGAACCCTAAATTTACTATTTTTTTGCTAATTGTAAAAAACTTGCATCTTTGCTGAGGTAGTTGATTAAATGAATGATCTCGGTAGATTAGAAAATTTGTGATGCACCTGACATGTTCGGTTATGTTTCTGTAGCTTAGGTCCGAATTGGTTATTAGTATGGAGGAGTTAAAATTAGCTTCATACTACCAAATTGGATTACAATGTTTTGGTTTTTTACTTTATTTACGAAACTTGTTTCTTTACTTATGAAGTTGATTAAAAGGATCATCTTAGCAGATTATAACATCTGTCGTCTACCTTCATGATCTTTTCTATTTCGGTAGTTTAATCCCAAACTCTTATTAAATATGCAGGAGTCACAATTAGCTTCATACTAGCTGGACTATCATGTGTGCTAAATGCACTGTGTTTTGCTGAGCTAGCTTCTCGTTTTCCTGCCGTTGTCGGGGGATCATATTTGTATGCTTATTCATCTTTCAATGAGCTCACTGCTTTTCTTGTCTTTACTCAAATAATGCTCGACTACCATATTGGAGCAGCCAGTATAGCCCGTAGCCTAGCAAGCTATGTAGTTACCATTCTAGAACTCTTTCCTTTTTTTAAAGATAACATTCCAAACTGGATTGGCCATGGGGGTGAAGAGTTCTTTGGTGGGGTTTTATCCATCAACATACTAGCTCCGATTCTACTTGTACTTCTGACTATAATTCTTTGTTGGGGTGTCAGAGAATCATCTGCTGTAAACTCATTCATGACTGCGTTAAAGGTGCTCCTTACATCTTTTTTTGTTTTTGAAGTTGAATATATGTTTGCATGAATTATAATTGTTGTTATATGGGAAGAGAAATTTCTGTTGCAGGTTATTCTAGTTATTGTCGTCATCCTTGTTGGGGCTTTTGAGGTTGATACTTCAAATTGGTCTCCCTTTGCCCCAAATGGTTTTAAAGAAATACTAACAGGAGCAACTGTAGTATTCTTCGCATACGTTGGATTTGATGCAGTTGCAAATTCAGCTGAGGAGTCAAAGAGACCACAGGTACACTAATTGTCTTTTCTAACAGGAGTGCCATACTAGTGTGAATTTCCAACCATAATATTATTTTAAAGTTATTTGCTGACTTCTTTTTTTTCTTGTTTGTTTTGAACTTGTGATGTTTCAGCGAGATCTACCAATAGGCATAATTGGTAGCCTTCTGGTATGTATAGCATTATATATCGGTGTCTGCTTGGTGATTACTGGAATGGTGCCTTACAATTTGCTCGGTGAAGATGCTCCACTAAGTGAAGCTTTTACATCCAAGGGTTTAAAATATGTTTCTGTCCTAATCAGCATAGGTGCTGTTGCCGGACTTACAACAACTCTTCTAGTCGGTCTCTATGTTCAGGTGAATTATCTCAGACTTACAATATGATTGTCACCTCTTCATCGCGTAGCATATGCGAGCATGAATGACTTGATGTTTCTAATGGTCAGTCTCGGTTATACCTTGGCCTTGGAAGAGACGGCTTACTACCTTCAATATTTGCCAGAGTACACCCGAGAAGACACACTCCAATTAATTCTCAGATCTGGGTTGGAATTGTTGCTGGAGTACTAGCGGGGCTCTTTAATGTGACTGTGCTATCACATATACTTTCTGTTGGGTCATTGGTAAGTCATTTTGCAACTTATTTATTTTTTTATTTTTTTTGGTTGTATGTTGAGGGTGTTGAATCAATTATCAATGTGCTATACGTTATAAGTTGTTCATTTCTTGAGCGATTAGCTTGCATTTTGTGCAATCACCAATCACATTGGTGTCTAACCCGTTAGTAAGCTGAATAAAATGCAGTATTAAGTAGTAACCCAGATAACATTTCCGGCTGTCTTATCTAGTTTGCCAAGTACTTTTGCTCACTTGGAAACGTACCATGATCTCACCGTATACCCTGGCTCGTTTCAGACTGGCTACTCTGTTGTTGCAGCATGTGTTCTGTCTCTTCGCTGGAAGGATAAGACATCAAGTCAAATATCTTCCTCATCCTGGAGGGAAGGTATCATCTGCCTTTTCATGGTTGCCCTCGGGGGTTTCGTTTCTGGACTTTACTACCGTGTGAACATTTCGATTGTTTTCCTGCTATTAGCCTTAGTTGTGGCCGTACTTGCTTGCATTGCTCTGTATTTCCACCAAGTACGTGATGATCTGTACTCTTTGGTTGCTCCTTTTACTGCTTGCAATTTGCACTTGCTCCTCTTCTAGGTAGCAAGCTTATTAGCTTAGTTGCTGGGGGGTAATCAGTCCGTAGATCAGCCATTATATGTAACGTCATGCACCGTTTTTCCTCAGGTATATGGAGATACACCAGGGTTCTCTTGTCCTGGGGTTCCTCTTGTGCCGGCCGTTTGCATTTTCTTCAACATGTTCCTATTCGCTCAGGTTGGTTGGATTTTAGAATTTGCCTAAACCAGCATATTATCAGATAAAAGAAAATTAAAGCGAATAACTAATAATCTAGTTTTTCCTTTGCAGTTACATTATGAAGCATGGATCAGATTTATCGTCCTTGGCATTATTACGATAGGTGTTTATGCATTTTATGGGCAATATCATGCTGATCCAAAGTCACAAGAGACAGTAATTTACTACAGGGCACCCGGAGAAGAAACTCGATAATTGTTTAGGACTGGCCTGCGCTGTGGGTTGTTGCCCTGCAATAGCATTAGTAGTCTTAGCATTCACCTGTATTGATATTTTAGTCTGTAATGGCAGAATAAATATCACCTTATTAGACCATTATTAGTCTTAGCATTCACCTGTACTGATATTTTAGTCTGTAATGGCAGAATAAATATCACTTTATTAGACTATATTATGTCATTCATAAAACCACGTACAATAAAAGAAACGCGTACCCTGAAAAATCCAATAAAAAAACTGCTTTCTACCAACTGTAATACATTGCTTTTTGAGACATGTGCATCATAAATCGTCTTGTCTCTATTTTTGGTGTTTAAGTTAGCAAATAACACTATAGCCTTGTTTGTTTCTGTTTTCGTTTTCATTTTTTACGTTTTTCGAAGCTAAAAATTGAAACGCGGGTGAAAAACATGTTTGGTGTAAAATGTTTGAAAAAACAAAAACAAAAACGTTTTTGTTGTTTTCTGAAGAATTTGAAAACGCAAAAAAAACTGTTTTCATTTTCTCCATTTTCATTTTCCTTCTCATTTTCTACCGTGTCTTCTTCCTCTTCCCATTCTTCTAAAAGTTCTCAGAACCTTCCCCAATCTCTCATCGCCTCTCACTCCGCCTCTTTCGCCGGCCTCCGCCTCTTTCCCCGTCGTTTTCCATTTTCTGCCGTGTCCTTCATTTTCCTCTTCCCATTCTTCTTCTGTTTCCTCGACCCTCTCTCTTGTCCGAAGTCTCTGATCTCCCTCGACTCCGCTCTTCTCCGATCTGAGACAACCCCTCATCTTATCCGTTCTAAGGTTGTCGCATTTTTACAAAGACATCTCTAATCAGCCCATAAACACATGACCCATAAAAAATTCATCAAAAGCATGAAAAAACCCTTCTAATACAAGAAGAACACCTTACCTTGACTGTTGTACAAGTTGGCCTCTTACATTTGGGTTTAAACTTAGAATTTGTCAAGAAAAATCAATTTTCTAGGAGGTTTCTCTTAGGTCCGAATTTTCTAGCTCAAACCCTTACTCTTATGTCTTCTACTTTGGAGAGAGGAGAAGAAGTTTGAGTAGAGATTTTTTTTTTCTGGTCATAAGCTGCTGAGGAGTAAAAAAATTGGTGTTAAACGGTGGTTAGTGGCTGAGTCCTTAGTTAATATGTAGGTGGTTTGGCATTTTTCTAGCTTGATGACAAGTGTTGCAACTAAATTCTAACTTTGACAATTTAAAAAAACTGAAATAAAAAATTAAACCACCAAACGCAATTTCAATTTTTCTTAAAATTGAAATCAATCTCTAAATAAAAGTACTAAACGCATTTTCAGAAATAATTCCAAAATGAAAATGAAAATGAAAACGTTTTCATTTCCATTTTTATACAGAAAACAAAATTATTTTGAAACCAATTCCAAACACAACCTATATAATAACCTATTCTTGATTCTATTGACTGACATGATTCAAAACAATCATCGTCTTTACGGTGAACTTTCAAAATGGTGCTAGATAGAACTTTTTTTTTTTTAGTCACCAATGTGAATTCTTCATTTTCTTTCAGACTTTAGATTTCTCTGGAAACAAAATTCTGCAAAGAAAACCATTATCATTCACACACAAAATCGGAGTAGAACCCGATTGTCCTCCGTTTACAGTCCTGAATACTGACCAGTTCCACATCAAAAACTTCAAATTGTTTTGAGCTGAAAAAGGTGGAAGGTCCAACCTGTTTGGAAACAAGAGTCTATCATCAAAACAAGCAAACTCAAGGCAAAAGGCTCATAAAAAGAACTACAAAGTTTTCATCCAAATTCACTTGAGTAAAATTTCAGACTTAGAACATGCAGAGAAGGCCTTGCAATCAGTACATAGACAGTCACAAAATGCAAATTCAAAACGCAGGAAGTGTCAATTGACCTTAAAAGGAAAAGCAACATCCCACAAGCGATGTGAAACTTACCGGTGGTCCAAGTTCCGGCGGAATGATTATTCTTCTCTTGCCCCCAGCTTTCATGTCTTTTATTCCTTCCTCAAATCCTGCATATGGAATTCTCCATCTTAGTATTTTCAGTACACACACACACAGAGCATTAGAACATCTAGAGTTACTGTCTCTTCACCTGGAACCAATGCATTAGTGCCCATGCGAATTCTGGCAGGAGCGCCCTGAAAGTACGTGCTGTCGATTCGACGCCCCGACTCATTGTACCCAACATAATGGAAGGTCACCTAGAGAGAGACCTCAAATCATGAGTAGCTGAGAGTCCTAACTCCTAAAAAAAGTCTTTCCGAGACATGTAAGCCCTGTTCATTTCACCGATTCGAGTTTTCAGTTTTAGGTTTCTACAGTTAAAAGCTCTCAGAAAATGTCACATCTAACTTTTTCTGCTACAGTTAAAAGTTCTCAAGAAATGTCAAATCTCAACTCGAATTGAAAAATCGAATCCGCGAAGTGAACGAGGCCGTATACTTAAGATTTCCATCTTAACCCAACATCTCTACTATGCATAAGTTAGTACATATGTTCCATTTCTTGTAATCCGAAACAGAATGTGAAATTCATCGTAATTTTCAGCAAATGAAACAATAGCTTGTGAAGACAATGAAAGAAAAACCTGTTGACCAGCCTTTGGGCAATCACCTTTACCAACTTCGAAATCCCGGTATATAAGTCCCGAATCACATTTGACATAGCTCTCTGGCGTTACTACCTTAACCTCAAAACCTGACGCATGCTCTACATCAGTACTGATTCCATAGAACTAAAAGAGGACTAAAATTGTCGTTTAAGACTATGATATGGTTTCTTTTATAGTAGCGCCATAAACAAACCTTCTCTAATAAAATTGGGAAAGTCTTCAGGTACGTTGTTTTCTCTCTGTCTCCTCTTGTTTTGTTCTAATAACCGTCTCTCATCATAAGGATTTTTAACCTTTGTCTTGGCAGATGAAGATAGAGATGGAAACAAGCTCGTGGTGAGCGAAACGAAAAGGATAAGCCTCCTCCTCAATTTCTCATCACAATGTAGCATTTCGCCATTCTGTGTTCTGATATGGAAAGCAAATTCCTTTATAAACAACTCAGCCAAAAAAAAAAAAAAAAAAAAAAAAGACAAACTCTCATAACATCATATTTACCCACATTTATCAAATCTTTCAATCAATTGATGAAAGTATAACCTGTGATCTTTCAAGTTGTGACTTGAGCAGCAACACTTTATTTGCCTGCTCGGAGTAAAGTGATTTCTTAGCCTTGGAGGAACTGAAATAGTTGGGCCTGCCACTGAAGATTTAAAAAAAAAAGGGATTAATAAAGGAAAGCGCAACACAATTATAGTTATATGTGAATGAAAAAGGAGGAAGAAAGCTTTAATCTTTAAAGTAAATAAATTAAGCCCATGTGTTTAAAAATCCACTAAATTTCCTAACTTTCTTCATTTTGCCTGCAACCACATCGGTTTTTATTTTTTTATTTTTTTAGTTTTTTTAATTATCACTTAATAATTTTTGAGAAGTCATGGAAATCGCTGTTCACAAAAACTTAAAAATTAAACATTGTGAAATGCTAAGAAAATATCTGGGTTTGAGGGATAAGGCAAAAAGATGTGAATTTTAGTAATACCCATGAATTGAAAAAAGTTTGTCCAGTAAAAGCAATTCCCACAAAACAATGTACAAGAGAACTGACTTACGGGGAAAAGATGTGTTGGGTGTAGAAGAGAAACTCGTGAAAACCATCACTATGGCTTTGTTTGGAGATACTTCTAAGCTTCTTCCACCATCTACGTTGTAATGTTAATCCAGCGGAAGAACAAATAAGTAGAGAGAGACAGACAGGACGTGAATGATGATACTTTAGCGCGTTCCCAGTTAGTTGGTCAGTGTGAGCTTATCTTTTCAGTTCTCTAAAAATATTGAAATATCAAACAAGTCCCTACTCTTTGTTGTAAATATCATTTATGGGCCTAAATGTTTTCACAATTCACGAATATCCCTGAGAGGATGACACTATAGTATATGCATAGTTCTTTTTTTTTTTAATTATCAAAAACTCCTTGTTTTGCCCATTTCTTACTATTATACCCTTATATATATGTATATGGGAATTACGAAAATTCTATAAATTTAAAATTTACTTCAAATCTCTCTCTTTATTTGGTTAGTTGAAAAAAATTATGTGATTTCCCATGTTATTTAGCAAGGGTAAATTGTAATGATCATGTAAGTTTTTCCAAATCTAACCAATTAAGGGAAGGAATTTAAAAGAAATTTTGTACTTGAAGGATTCGGATCCATTTGTAACCTCCATTAATGTAATGCTAATGGCCATATTTGTCCCACACCAACATTTCAAGTTATCAATAAAGTGGCTTTTGTTTGTGCATTTTTCAGTTTCAAATCCTTTTAGGTGAACCAAACAATGCACTTCGCCTTAGTGGATTACATAATAATAGCACTGCAATTGAGCTTTTGCGAACCTAGCACTCAAAGTTATCGGCCTCATTTTGCTTTATTCTTCTTCTACTTTTTTCTGGTTTGCTTCATCATATAGTACTCATTGGCAAGTAAAACAAATGACAGTATTCAACCCAAAAAAAAAAAAAAGAGTAAAACAATTGACGGTACAAGTTCAATTTTGGCAAGAAACAATATGGTTTCTAAACGTGATCTACTTGCAAAGAATTTGAGAACCAGAACTCTTTCTGCATATTTTGGTCACTGAAGAAGAGGAAGAAAAGAAAGGTAATTGATTAATTAGAACACCAGTTGTGAAGTCCTAAAATTCTAATTTTAGCTTCTTCACCAGGGGAAAAGAAAACTTAAATGGGTTTTGCATATTCATCCAAGAAGAAAAGAAACTGCTAAATATACAACATATTTGGGAAGTAGAAGTAGGCTATTTGAAACAAACATATTATCATCTAAAAAACAGTGAGGTAACATAAGTGGAAGCATTTTACAGTAACCACACAAAAATTTGAAGACTTGACAAATGCTTTCCCAAAGAGTTGCGATGTCTTGAATTTCCAATCAAATATAGAAACGATAAATCACATAAATAATTAAGCTAAGTAAAACAACACAATAAAAGGGAGAAGATGATGACAAAGTAGATATCAATCATCAATCACCTATAATAGTCCATCTTAAACTTGTATATCAGTATGTCACCTAAAATAGTTGCCACTTAATCGTAGACCTCTTGATCTTTCCATTGAAGCCACTTTTTGTAGCCTGATCTGTTCTCTAAATTTGGCTATAAACTCACCAGCCTTCTTATCAACCTCACTAGTGTACTCTGGTGCTGCAGGTGTTGCATTGCCGATGTATTCAGCGTCAGCATCTTCGGCCGAGCTTAACTGAAACTTCTCGGTCTCATTATCCGCGTGTTCTTCACTCTTTGCGGAAGCATTCTCAGAAAACTCTTGCATCTCTTTCTTCTGATACTCAGGAAGTGTATCAAAGTTCTGCTTACTGCTCCCATTTACCACACCATCAACCTCTTCGTTTCTCGAAAATGTTGTTTGAACATGTTCATCAATTCGGTTTCCCTGCTTCTCTTCACGATTTTTAGTCTCTACGGTTGTTAGTCTACTAGATCTAACAGTTCTAACTGATTTTCCCCTTAATGAAGCTTTTCTAAGGCTGGTTGATTTTGGTTTCTTTTCCAAATTCAAAGTACTTGGACCGGGCTCTTTTCTATCCAAGATATCCTCTCTTCTGCTCTCTCTCACTTCCTTCAAGTAATCTTTTGCGCCTCTCAGATCATTTTCGTATAAAGAACCAAAACTATGTCCCCTCATGTGCAATGCACCGGTCGAGACTTTGTCATCAATTGGTTTTGGCGGGGATGGTGAACTTGAAGCAGAAGATCCTTCTTGGTAACTCTTGGCTTTCCTCACATCCGGTTTCATTTGTGGTGATGTTGAGCCTGAAGAACCAGAAGACGATGCTCGAGAACTCGTTGTCTTGCCCTCATCTTCCAATTTCGAGCTCATTACTTCGGAGGCAACAGAATGTGAGGGAGAATCATCTCCTTGTGAGGAAGACATGGAACTGGCATTAGACGAGAAAGACACTGTGGATCGCAATGACGGCGTTCTCATTGACTCAAACTGAGTTTCATCAACCGAGAGTGGCCTGAAATGCAAAGAAGGGCGATAAACAGCACTGAGTTTTTCTCTCGTTTCCCTCCTCCTACCAGATCTCGAATGCCATGAAATTGGAGAAGGCGATGCAACAAAAGCTTCATCAAACTTCTCCTCCAAATTCCGAGGACCCAAATCACCAAAATTCTCATTCCTACTCTCAACATCACCAAACTTCTCATCCACAGAACCAAAACTAGTCTCATCATTCCCACTAAAAACTTCCACAGTTTCCCCATTTCTTATCCTTGATCTCAAACTCCTCACAGGCAATCCTAAAGGCTTGTAATCAACTACTGATCTAGGTTCATTCAACTCTCCAACACCACAATTTGGCTCAGCCACTACCACCATTGACTCACCCTGAAAGTACTGAGCATTCCAAGCTTGAACAACACTTTTTTCACCATACCCGCATGAATTCCCAAAATCATTTCCGCTCATGGAAATATTGGGGTTCAAATTTCCACCTTGAACACCACTTTTCTCACCATACCCACATGAATTTTGAACACCATTTTCACTAACATAAGAATTAAGATCAATTCTAGGCTGACCCAGGTGAAACTGAGCATCAAAACACAGATTTCCTTCATACACATCTTCCGAAATCGAAGAAAAATGAAACATTCTAGACATATCATGCTGCAAATTATCAAATTTTGAATGGGCAGTAGTGTCAAAGCTCACCTGATCGTCAACATTTCGTCGGCAAAACAAGCCATAGGAGACGGCAATGCCGATGAAGAGAAGGTGAATGAGCTCCCAAAGCTTGGTGATTATGGATTGGCTGATGAATTCGGGAGCTTGGGAAGGGAAAAGAGGAACTAGAACGAGAAACATGGAAAAGAAGAGAGCTTTGAAGAGGAAGTACGAGCAGGACTTGGACTTAGCGAGTGGGTTCTTCATGGCGTGTTGTTGAAGAGGATCTGGTGGAAACGAGAGATGGGGTTTTCTGTAAGGGCCTGAATTTGGTTCCGCCATTGATGAAGCTTGGTGGGTTAGTGAGCTTTGGGTGGTTTTGTGTGAAACGGAAATGGTGTGGGTGAAGCAAGGAAGACTTTGAAGCGAAGGAAAAATGAAGAGAGAGAGAGAGAGAGAGAGAGTTGAAAAAGTGTGTGTTGATTTTAAAAGTGGGGATAATTCATTATGACCGTTTCTGCCAAATGACGTTAATGCCCCTGTCTTTTTTTATTTATTCTATGACTAATTCATTATGTCCCCCTAAATTGTGTATTGTATCTAAACATGCCCACAAATTTCCAGAAATAGTAATTGCACCTCGTTCATTAATAAAGGCATTCAAAAGATCTCTTCGTCCAAATTCGTCTATAAATAAATACTGATGGAATAAGCACACATGATATTTTTTTTTTAATTGCGCATCAATTATATTCAAGTATTTTTTAGAACGGAATGGTTGATATAGATATAAAATCTTTATTTTATCCATGAAAACTTTATATTAGTAACGATGCTCTTAGTTTTTTTCCTTAACGAAATACCTAATATGGATACTAAATTTTAATAATATGTCTACAAAAAAGATTAGTTATTAAAAAAATAATAATTCTACCATTAAAATTTTACCTGTTGTTTTTTCAATAACTATTTTTCATACAATTAATTAGATTTTAAAATGAGAATTTCACCTTATATAGAGTAATTTTCTCGCCTTTATCTTTATTAATCCATTTGAATGTGAAATATTTTACATTTTCTTTAGTTTTATAAATGGATTTCGACGGACTACAAACGAACATTATAAAAAAAAAAATGAATTTTGACGGAAAAGATTTTTTGAACGTCAGAGGGATGTAATAATTACCTTTAAGAACTTAGGGACATCTTGAGATAAAGTTCATAGTTGAAGGGCTTTTGTGTAATAATACCTATATACGTATATCCTTGATTTTGGGCCCATTGGAACGACCAGGCCAGCCAATAAAGCCCTTCAACTATAGGCTCTAGGCGGGCTATAACCCAATAAAGCTGAAACGACGCCGCTTGTTAGCCGAAATCCTCAAGCCCCTCACTTTCTCGGGAAAATGCTTTCCCGGACGACCAGTCACATAAGAAAATCCCTAGGAAGAAAGGGAGATAGAAGATTGAAAGAAAAATGGCAGGAACAGATGCGTTTGTGGAAGCGGACAATGCTGAAGCCATAATCACGAGAATCGAGCACAAATCTAGGAAGATCGAAAGCCTTCTCAAACAGTAATGTTCCAAATTCTCTCTCTCTCTCTCTCTCTTTTTGTTGTTAAATTCTCCGGAGAAAATCCTAAAGCTTCGAATTTCATGTCCGTAACAGGTCTAAGCCAGTCGAAGCTCTAAAAACCGCTCTTGAAGGATCGCCTCCCAACACTCGAGACGAGCGCTGCAAGGTGAGTGTTCTTCTTGCCTTCTGTAAGTTTTCCGAGAAAATTTCCCAAACATAGAGGAAAAATTGAAGTTGAATTTGCAGTCTGCGAACTGGATTGTGGTGCATAGAGCTCTAATGGCGATAAAGGATGTGGATGGCATGTTTTCTTCTCTTGATCCAGAGTACTATGACATCCTTATGAAGTAAATAAAATCTTTCCTTTTCTTAAACTTCTTAAATTTTTTGGAACTCTTATTATTGCTATAGATATTGCCTCAGCATCTTATTCAGCAATGCTAAAGTTAAGTTGCAAATACTTAAATTAAGATTCTATAAACTTTATCTTAACATTTTTATTGTTTATTAGTAAACCTAAATTTTATTTTTGTCGTTTCACATACTGACTAAAAAGCTATAATTTCTATTTTTCTTGTAATGTCTACAATTTACAAATATAATCAAAAGCTTTGTCAAACAGGCTTAAGGCTATCAAAATTCATGATTAAGAAGCATATTGTAAAACGTTAGAATGAGTTTACCCTTTTGGAAGTCCATTTTTTTGCTTTTTGTAAACAATTTATCCCAGGACATCAGATTAATTTATGTCTCAGCATCTTAGGAGTTAGAGCTTATTATTTATTTCTTTACTCTATAGTTTGTATGATTTGGATTCAGTTTATACTTATTAGGTTGCATTATGCCGTAAAACTTTGATCGAGTTTAAGCTTGTATATTTGTGAAACAATTGTTTGCATTCTTGCAAAATGCAATATCGGCTTGCTAAACGGATGTTTGAAAACAAAATTTGGGAATAAACAGCAAAATAGAACATGAAAATAAATATTTTAGTTTGGAATATGTTACTGGCTCATAACGTTTGAAAAGCCAAACAAAACTTGTAGGGTGCGTTTGGAGCAAGGATCCGTGTCATGATAAAAAAATACACGTAAACCGAGAATAATTCTGAATTATAGTTCTGAATTCATGAACCAAACATCATCGTAATGTTTCATTCTAGCTACTTTGCTCCTTTCACCAAGAAATGACCTTTCATTTTTTTGGCATTCTTTTTCTCTTGTCAACATGATGGTGTTTCATAAATTCTAACAATTTGTGACTGCAACCATTGAAGGTACTTGTATAGAGGATTATCGACGGGCGATCGCCCCACGTGCGACCAGTGCCTGAGGATTCATGAAAAACTGACAGAGAGAGCTGGTCTGGGATGCATACTCCGTTCCCTTGCAGACACTGTAAATACAGTTTGATTTTCATCTCTTTGACAAGGAATGGCCTTAGAAAGATTATGGCGTGGTAATGAATCGAATTATTGCTGTTCTCTAAGAAATCATGTCAAACTACATTGACGTTCTTGGAGGTGTGTCCAGAATTCTGTACCTTTATTCCAGAAATTCTGATTCAGAACTTCTCTGAGAAATTGTCTCTTGGTTTCTCTTCTATCCCATTAATTTGGGAGGATGGCTTGTAATAGATTTTAAGTTTAGGAGAAAAAGATGTAATACCAAGTTCAAACAACATCACCACTTTGTGTAGATTCTAGAAGGGGGTAAAAAAGAAAATCAAAAAGAAAAAGGAGGGCATCTATTTTATTTTCTGCTGTTTGGTCATGCAAGAGCAGTGGACAAAGAGTAATTTACCAGAGCTTTTTAATGGACCCGAAAGGAACACTTGCCACACATTTATCGAGGCTCTAAAAAAATCTTCAAAAAATAAAGTATTTACTTTTAATACTGGATGAGTTTAAATTTTTATTTCTTAGTTTTTTATTAAATTTTTTTATTAATGTAATTATTTTATTAAAAATATTATAAATTAAAAATAAATAATAAAAAATATGATTTATATATTTTTAAAAAGTATTTATCAAGATTATTTTTTAATCTTTATTTTTCGCTCGTTTGCTCAATCAAATGCAAAGGATTTTTTTTCCCCTTTTGAAGCTTTTTACTTTCATAATGCACGTCTAGATGTTGTATTTGGTTTTAAAAAAAGGTAAATAACGGTTTTAAAGATTATTTATGAGCATTTTTTCACTCTACATTGAAATATATTTTTTTCATACTCCAGCGTAAAAATCCAATTTCTTTTCCTCACTGCTAACATTTGGGTTTTCCAATCAATAAACTGGTATCCATTGTAAATTAAGGGTTTCTTTTTTCTCATTTTTTCCCATAAGGTTTCTAGACTATTAAGTATTGTTATTTGATGATACGTCAACATATATAAATTGAGTCTGATTATGCTACGTAAAAGTTTTAATACACTGCTACTTATATATATATATATATATTTATTGTGTTTTTCTTTCTCATTTTTTTCCTTTAAGGTTTTATAGACTATCAATTTGTAACGCCCCTCCCAAGTTAGCAGTTAACAACCTCACTAACACAAAAAAAATATAAGTTTAATTAGAATACATAAAACTTCAAAATGGAAAAAATAATATCTATTACAGAAATAATCCTCGAATAGAGTTTCTAAGATTACAATCTTCAAACTTGTCATGGGACTGTGGACCATTCTTGTTCGGTCAATTAGAATTCTTAATTATCAAACTTACATGCATCACGAGAACTATATAAGCGATGGCGCAGTAAGTAAATTATAAATAATTTTTACTTTCAAAACACTTATCTCAAACATTTAAGGTCCTCTTATATAACATTGGTCTTGTGTTATTAAAACCCCTTTGATGTGGCTCATATCTTAGAATCTCTATGAATTTGGCTATTATCATATATCAATCAATTCATAATAAGCACAAAATTTCACATTATACTCAGAAAATACTTTTAAAATCTCATAAAAGTATATATATAAATACACTTACCTTTACTTACTTAAGAAGATAAATAGAACTCCCTCTCTATTTTTCTTTTCCTTTTCTCTCTCTCTATCTCTCTCTTCTTATTTCTCTTTCTTTTTCTTTCCCATTCTCACTTTTCTATTTTTCTCTATTCCTTTTCTACTATGACTAATGTTAAAATTGACTAAAACCATACTTCATATAGGCAACAAGACGTGCACTAAAAACAAAATAAAATAGCACTTCACACAAGATTAACGTGGCATAAGGATACTAACTAAGGTGAGCTTCAGCGTGGAGATATATCCTATTCTTAAAAAATAACTTTGCCACCTCAAGCTTAGGAAGATAAACTGATAACCTTCATATAAATTTCACTATCTGTATTTACCAGATTTCATCTTAGATAAACAATTGTAAGATACTTTCAAATCAACTAAAAATATATAGGTGCACTTAAATAAAAAAAACAAATAAAATTACTTAATGAGATCTAATATTTTTAAAAATCTCCGAATATCATAAAATAAACCAACTAAACTAATAATTTTAAATTTCTAGATGTTAAAGAATTATTGTTATTTATCATCATTAGTGACACATCAACGTACATAAATTTAGTCGGAATATGCTATGTAAAAGTTTTTTAATACACTGCTACACATATAAAAGTTGTAGTAAAAAATCATTTTTCATGTGTATGGATACAGAAACAGATTTGGGGTCCCCTGCTTTTTCTGATTTCATTTATCATTGTGATTAAAGGGAGTTTTGTAGAGGAGTTTTAGTTGGTCCGAGTCTTCAAAGCTGTATTCAGAAACTGGATGGATTCAGTTATCCAAGAACCACAAAGAGACAATAACAAATTGCTGATATTTCATGGAGAAATGCAAATAGTTTTGTCTGGATTCTCAGTCTCGAGGCTGCTATCATTATTATTAGCTGTAGAATCCAGAGGAAAGAAAACAAACTTCCAATTTTTGACAGAAAATACACGGCCATTGTCTTTTACTCTCTATCATATCTTTTGAACTTCAAATCCTTTTCTTTTTATCTGATAAAGTTATGAATTGTTGCAGGGAATATCAAAAACTGTGAAGCAAAAGAACATCATTGATATGGGACCATACTCCTTATAGTTCCATTATGTCCTACACATTCCCCCATAGATTTTGAGCGCATTAAATACAAATTATTAAGACAGCTATGCTTTCTCTCACAGGCATTGTTTCCTACTAAGCATGCCATGCAGAACCTACTTGCTTCACTCTTTGTGAGACAAAAGCCCGTGGCGTAACTCAATAAGACCCCAGATTACCTGTAACAATGCCGGTTCAACAAACCATGTGGATAACCAACAATTATTGCTTCCTTAATTACAATCCCAATAATGTGTTAATGTGGGGTTATTGTATTAATGTGGGATATGATATTTGCACTCGTTTTTAATGGTCTGAAGAGGCTTAGAGGGACTGGAGCTTGTTCAGTATGCTCATAGATCTCAGGTTCGGAGGTGGTGGCTGAACTCACCCCGCAGAGTTTGGAAGTGAGCAAGACTCTCTTATGCTCCTCTGGTTCACAGTTTGAACTACAATTTAGGTCCCGTTCATTTCACTGATTCGAATTTTACTACAGTAAAAAGTTCTTAAATACAATTACATCTAACTTTTTTACTACAGTAAAAAACTCTTACATAAAATTACATTTCAACTTAAATTAGCGAATTAAACGAGCCTTTAAACCTTAATGCTTTAAAATTAAAGATTCTTAAATACAATTACATCTAACTTTTTTGCTACAGTAAAAAACTCTTACATAAAATTACATCTCAACTCAAATTAGCGAATTAAACGAGCCTTTAAACCTTAATGCTTTAAAATTAAAGTTTAAAGCAAATGCAATTGGAATACTTCGCTCATTTTGCATTCCGAGGCTTAAGCGCCTAGGAATTTGTGCTTGGATGTCAAGATGAGGGAACTCTATCCAATCCGTATTACTCAATTTGTGGTGGAACAAATTCAATATATTTCATATCATATAGCATACAAAATAAGAGACAACTAGTTATGATAATAACTAAAGAAAAATAGAGACCGTTGATGGTGAGAGAAGATTTTCAAGAACCAATGACAACATTTGCCCCATCATAATCCACAAAATAAGGACTGCTTGGACCACAATTATTGCATTCTTAAATGGAACCCCAATAATGTATTAATCGTCAATGCTATTTTTCAGACAGAATCACGAGTAGTACAAATATAAAAAAGGATATTGATTCAGTCTCTCTTCGTTACACTTGTAATTATCCTGCTTGCCATCGTAAGTACAAACCCTCCACTAACATTAGAAAAGCCCAAAACTAAATCAAGGCTTCAATATTAACAAAATCACACCCCCTTGAAAAAAATAATAATAATTAACCATTCCTTTTCCCATTAAATCTCTACTCTGAAAACTCTACTTATGCTTTCAACACGATAATGTTAATCCACCACCATATTTTAGGACCTAGAGGCAGGTGTATCCAACGGCCGGTGTGGGATTGGCAATGCGGCCCACGGGTTAATGGGCACAGGCCGTGGGATGCTGGGAACGGCGGGCTGCCGGTTTGAACCGTTTGGAGCGGCAGCAGCAGTAGAGGACAACGACGACGAGGCCGCCACACGCTCACATGAAGGGCACATTGTGAGGGTGGTGGGAGGGCTCATGTGCATGTAGAGCTGTGGGGACAACTTTAATGCTCTAAGCTCTTGCACTTCCTTTTGCAGCCTCCTGTTCTCTTCAGTCAGATTCTCACAGCACCTCTTTAGATACTCACAGTCCACTTCTGTCTGCTTCAATTTAGTCCTGCACAAGTAAAAGTAATTCATTATTGCAAAAAAAAAAAAAAAAAAAAAAATCATATTTTAGTCCCTAAAGTCAATCCAAATACAAGTAGCAAAATAATAATAGTTAAAGACACACACCAATAACATGTTACATGCAAACTGTGTCAAATTTGGTGAGTTATTAAGGAGGCGTTTGGAAAAAGAATTCGTGTCATGATTTGAATCATGATTCGTAATTCGTTATAATATTTTTTTTACATAAAAAATACATAAAAATAAAAAATACATAAAATAAAAATAATTCTGAATAATAATTCTAAATTTATAAACCAATCGTTTCCTAATTCACTATCCATGTCACATTTATTGCTTTTCATAATTACAACAGCAGTTGAAAAAAACAACATTGATGAGAAACAACCAGATTTTTCCCAAACTCATTCAATGCCAACCCATGAAAATTGTGACAGTAAACAGGGGGAGAGATTTTTAAGAAAATGAAAATAAAAGCATTTAATACAATTTGACAAATATACCCTTGAGTGAGTCAGGGAATATCTCACCTTGCCCTCCTGTTCTGAAACCACACCTCCACTTGTCTTGGCCGCAGGTTCAGTTCCTTAGCCAACGCCAGCTTTTGCTTCTGCACACACAATCAATTCATCCCAAAACCACCCCTCAATCAACCACATATTTACCAGACTGCCAACCATGCAAAAAGACCAAAATACCCTATCAAAAGACAATAATAACACAAAACGTACCGGGTTGAGAGTGTTGTGCTCCTTGAAAGTTTCTTCAAGGATGAGAGACTGGTCCTTGGTGAGGCGGAGCTTCTTTCTGGAGGCGTCGCCGCCGCCATTTCCGCCGTCTTCGTCATCACTTCCTCCGCCGCCGCGAGAGCAGGAGTCTCTGTCTCCCTCCTCGGCCTCCTCTCCTCCCGGTGCCTCTCTCTCGCTCTTCTTCCCGCTTATGCTCGATATCGTGCTGTTCGGAGACGACACGCCGTTTTCCTCATCGTAATCCGCCGCCGCCGCCGCCGCAAACGAGGGTGTCAGGTTCACGTCGAGCCCCCGGAGGAACGACCTGCCGTCGGAGTTCCGATCTGAGGGCAAAAAAGGAGTTTTCGTATTGGAATGGCAGTCTTGTGAATAAAGGACTAAGGTTTGTCCATTTTCGGAAGTGCACAATGATTATGATCAGCTTGGAGCTGGAGTTCCCACGCTTGCTTGTTTTGGTTTGTTTGGCGTTACAAAACAAGTTCTTCTACGTGTGCAAATGAGTTTTAAAACAGCAAAAAATAAAAACTTTTTTTTTTCAAAAAATGAAAAAAATCACAGATCTAATACTGAGATCTATTTTTCTTTGCTTCTACTATTTTTACGTTTGTTTTCACTCCATGATGAGGAAAATGTGAAAGCTTTTGGAAATATAATGCTAAAAACAAGAAGCTTTCTCTCATATATATATAATCATTTCCAATAAGTACTCATTCCAAAACTTGCATTTTCAAAATCTGAAAGTTCGTTTTAATGATAAAAAGAAAGTAAGAAGGACTTACCAGAAAGCTGAAAGATTTCATTCCAAGGAGTGGCGGTGGTATTAGTAGTCTTTTGTTGATATTGCATGGAAGAAGAAGAAGGCTTTTGCATGAGATTAAACTTGAGAGAAGAAGAAGAAGAAGAACCCGGTTGATGAGTAGTAGTGTGAGTTGTTGCTGTTGTTGTAGTTCCACCAAATATTCCCAAGCTCAAACTCAACCCCAACCCCAACCCATCATCATCTTTCTCACCCATTTTCTCCAAAACCAAACACCCCAGAAAGAAAAGAAAAAACTCTCCCCTTTTTCCCTTTCTGGGGTTGTTCTTGATCAGGGAAAGAAAGAAAGAAAGGAAAATAGGCTAGCTTTAGGTTTGGCACAGAGAGAGAGAGAGAGACTTTTTGTCTATGCAGTACAGTAAAGGATGATGGGACTATATATATAGAAGATACAGAGAGAGAGAAAGTAGAGAGAGAGAGAGCAAAAAACGCACAGAAACAGAAACAGAAGAGGGTATAGATTTAATCATGACCATTGTGTCAGAGACGGAAGCTATTGGCTCGATTAGCCCCACGTTAGCCCCCCAACCTCTTCTTATTAGACTTTTAGCTTTTAGCCAGGACTCTCTCTCTCTGTAACTTCCTTTCTTATTTCCTAGGCCTTTTCACTTAACCCTGGTTAAATTGTAATCCCTATTAATCCTGGTTAGGTTCTATTTTGACTGTAGTTAAAACAAAGCGTTTCAAGTGTTTTTTTCTCTTGTAGAACTCTGACTCTGTAGTTGTGAACTTGTGACCTAAAAAAATAGATTTTATTGAAAATAATAAAACAACAACACAACAACCCAACGCCAAAAAGAAAAACATTAAAAATATTATAAAATTTATTTTTAAATGTGTATGAGTCTGAATTTTTAAGAGTTAAAATTATTAAGATTATTAATAAAGAGATATTAGTCTCATTTTTTTCATACATAAAGAATTACTCCAATAGATCTCTTTTACAAATAGAATTTATTTTTTGACCGTTAAATCTAGTTAAAATCACATAAAATTAAAAATATATATTTAAAATAAATATTTTCTAATACATATTTAATAGCTTAAAAGTAAAAATATCGGTAATTTATTTTTTTTAATTCTAAACTCTCAAATATATAAGTTAAAAAACAGATTTTGTTTAATAGAGCATAAAAAGGCTTTTTACTATTTAATTCAAGCTGTTAGGATAATGTTTCCTTAGTGTAGAAATTTATTCTCTTAAACTTACTTTTAATATAATTTAACAGTTAGCAGCATAATATAAAACATTCTAACAAAAATTAATGAAATTAATAAAGATTTTTAAGAAACCCTTTTTTCAGAAAAAAAAAAAAAAAAGAATCCTTTTTATTACCTTAACGAATGGTTTTTAATGTTGTGTAACCAAGTTGCTTTTACAGCGATTTTGACCATGGTTAAGTGTCTTGTCCGTGGCTTTAATATTATTATTATGTATATATATATAGTAATGGTTATTATTAATTTATTATTAGCTTCTGATCTGTTAAAAAGCGGCTTTCTCGCACTTTGAACGTTGACCAGTGGAGTGACTAAATAGTGGAACGTCCACGGGAGGTGATGTCCACGCGCTTGAAATTATTGGATGATGATGATGTTGGCCGTTTGATTACCAAACTTTATTATCATCGTCTATGAGCCATTTGGGGGTGTGTGTGGGACCCACAAATGGGGGGTGGGACCGACGAGATAGCCTTTTCATCAGGCACGCCTGTGACAAATCACGAGGCAAATGAGTTTGATTTTTTAACTGCATCATCAGGTGGGACCCGCCAACCCAATGGAGTTAAAGAAAGCGTGACAGCGCGTGGGTCTCGAGCTAGAGATATGGTCAGACTCAGACTCAATGCATTCCCTCAGTCAGCTGTGTGTTTGGTCAGTGGGAAAGTTGAAAGTGTTTATAAATCCTCTAATAATTAAATTGGTTTAACTTGCATAATTTGAGGAGCATTTTGGTTTTCTAGGTGAGATTGAATGAAATAATAATTTTTAAAAAATTTTAAGGTCACCGGTGGAATGATCATACTATTCCAAATTGATGTTGATCGAAATTCTTTCTTTTAAAATTATATATTGTAAGGTAATTTTTCAATAGATTCTATTTTTTTTTTACTATCGGCAGTTATTATTGTTTTACTTATTAGACTTTACTTTTGACAACATGATTTGTGATTATAATAATTTTGTGTCACACATTATAAATTTTTAATATAAACACTCATAAATTAGACCTATATAAATTTAAAATCCAACAATTACAATAACAATAATTGTCAATAGTTAAGAAGTGTAGGTCCTAACACTATAGTTGTCATAGGTAATATATGCTAAACTTGATATTAAATAATACATAAATAAATCTAAATTTTTATCTCTTACTATTAGTTAATATATTCTTGACTAATATAATTATTTGACTAAAAAATAACGGACAATATCTGTGGAATATTATTTTAAAAGGTATTAATCACTTTTTCCTTAAATAATATTATATTACCTTGGAGAATATTTTTACAGCAATCTTTTGAATGGATTCTTATATCAAAGTTGGGGTTTATGTCGATCTTGTGTTAAAGTCTACAATAAAGGGCTACTTACATATTTGATGTTAGGAATAAGCAAATGGGTATTTACCTTTCAACTGAAGCAATAAATCTTTTAATTAAAAAAAAAAGGAATTGAATATTTAATAATTGATTCGGATTCGAGTGGTTTCTTTTTGACGTAGTTAAGTTATGAACGAGGCAATTACTTTGTTCCAGAATTCAATCAAGATAAACGTTCAAACGGGTGATAAGAGAAAAATTAATGTCTATATCTCCTTTCATTTATTGCAGTGGAATGGTAGATTACAATTATGATTTTAGCTTTAATTATGGGAATTACTTTCGTTTCATTCCAACAAGAGTATTTATTGAAAAGTTTGAAGGGCAGAATTGAGCGTTGAAGCCATTTGTTGTCTCCCATTTCGTGAAATTAGACAATATTTTGAAACAGGTTATATTTCTGTCGTTAATGTTAATGGTGGCTATAATGAATGCCTAGCTAATGAGTTACAAACAAATAAATAGCGTTATAATCACTCTTTCCTTGCTTATTCTGTGCACCATGCCTAACTGAACCATAATAATTAGGCATTCATGATGAGCCGTGCTATAAAGGGTTTTTTTTTTTTTTTTTTTTAATTCCTTTTAATATAGTATATAAAAATTTTGAAGTAGATTTGGCATCAAATATTTCAAGTAAATTTAACATCAAACAATATGATATGATATGTTATTTTTATTTATGCTATTATACATAATATTATTTAAAATGTTAAATCTAATTTTTCTCATAATCAATAAATTTGAAGATAGTAAAGTCCACGTGTGAAACAATAAATGTATAGAGTGACAAAAAAATGATATAAAGAGTTATGCTATAATTTTTCTATTTTTTTTTTTTTTTTATGCTTGTAGGATGTATGACTTCTATTTTTATTAACAAAAAATGAAATTCGAACTTTGTTAAATACAAGCAAAATCTCCACACCAAAACATAAAATGATATTTTCTTAGTAGGTGATTTAAGTAGGATTCTGTAATTTATAATCTATAGGTATATATAAAAGATAAAATAAATAGGCAATTGTCAATAGACCTGCATACTTATTCTTCATTTTCGTTTTAGGTTTTTTTTTTTTTTTTTTTAATCTTTTGTTACTTTTTATGTGACACATGATTTATTTTCTTCTTTTTTCCCTTTATTTTTGTCATCTGGTATTGAATTGTAGACATGCGTCCAATCAAATCACAATGTTTGTTTCAAACTACCATTGAAATAAGCAACGGAGATATATAATCGAACAATATTTGAATTGTTATTGTTATTTTTTATTTCTTATTTGTCTATCTCATCATTTTATGTAACTAAATACATATATGTTATCTATTTGTCTACGAGTAAATATATAAAAAGAGAGAATAAACATGGATGATTATCGGGAAAAATAGGATCGGTATGCTTCCCCTGCTGTCATCTCCGCTTTCACTTTTTCCTCCATACCCGGCCACGTACCCGTCTTACTTAACGTTGCGGTTGGGGTAGGAAAATCCCCGTTAGGGAGCTTTTCCTATACTTTTTTTTGTATCTACCCATTAAAAAAATGAAATATTATTAACACTTATATAAATTACATCAAATTAAATATAAAATTCAACATATAATATTAATATCTCATGAAAATAAAATAAAATTTTAAAATAAAATTCAAGCTCTGAAAATAACTAATTAAATCTCAAAACCATACGAAACCAAATTCTAAGAATACAATCGAAGACTTAAATAATAAATTAAAGTCTTTAAAGTAAAAGATTTATTAGATTTTCAACAATAAATTAGAGTCTTTAATAATAAATTAGATTTAAACCAAACGACTTGAATTTTGATTTTATTAGATTTTCAAAATTTGAATTCAACATCCAATTCAATGCGATAATCGTTATTCGAATTTTTTTTTTTTTTTGGATAAAAGGGATTAAATTGGTTGGATCAATTATATGATTAGATGTATAAAATACAATTTATAAATTATATGTAAATTAAAACAAAGGCACGTGCTTTTGCACGTGCCCTCCTTACTAGTAATTATAAGCTTACCAAAAAGATGAAATGAGTGAATTTCTCAAGCTACTGTCGGTGTATCTCACCCCTTTTCAATCTTTTGGTTCCTTGTTTAACGTCCATTTTGTCCTCCTGCCTTGAAATGAAAACAAACAAACAAACAAATTCATTTCAAGTTGAAATCTCTCTCAATTTGTCGATGTTTTTTCCCTGATTCACAAGGTCACAAATATTTCAGTGGACTACGAAAATAAAATATAAATATATATGAAATATTTTTTAAAAAAATATTAAAAAACAGTGGTCCAGTACAAGATAGTTGCAGGGGGGCTAGGAATCAAGCAAAAATAAAAAATAGGATGGAAGGGAAAAGGAAAGGAGAAGTGGGACACGTAGAGAGTTAAGGCATCACGTGGTGAACATGCATGACTTCACGTGCACCATCATGCCTTTGCTCCACCACGTGGCAACACGTGGTCCCATCATTGCACTCGTGCGGTTACTTTGTCCCTCTCTAACCGGACACTTCTTTCCCTTCAATCATTGGATACTCTTCTATCCCTCTTGGATTCTTTGTTCCTCTCACGCGCAACTTTTTGTTGTTTACATCACGCGCTCCCTCATTTGTCAGTGTTTCTAAGGACTCA